CCCATACTCTTAGGCCAAAAAAAAAAAAAAAAAAAAAAAAAAAAAAAAAAATCAAAAAAAAAAATCAAAAAAAAAAAAAAAATCATAATTTTGAAAGAGACATCTTTGCTCATTATAATCATTCACTTAGTTTATATTTCTAATTCCAAGAAACAGAGATAAAGATTTTCAAAGCATTTATACATTTCCTCTATATGATCCAAAGAACCCTTTCTTACATGAGTACCCCTGACCCTGGGACAATGAATATCATAATTTTGAAAGGGACGCCCTTGCTCATTATGTTCATGCACTTCCTTTATCTATCACGTACCAAGGAGCAGAAAAGAGATTTTTTTTTTAAAAAAATGCATTTTTACGACATGTCTATGATCAAAACAGCCCAGTCTTAACATCAGAACAGCTGAAACAGGGACCATGAATTTCACAAATTTGCTCATCTTATATATGTTCTTAGTTTGACTGCTTAATATACAGAATGGGAGACGAGGATTTTTTTTTTATCAATTTATGAATTTTCACTGTAATATGATATATATAGAGCCCCATCCTCACACAAGAACCCCTAACAATGTGACCATGGATTTCGCAATTTTAGTAAAGGACTTTTTGCTTGCTATAATCCTGCCAACTGTTTGACTGCTTGATATCGTAAAGAAGAATTTTTTTTGAAAATTGCATTAATCTTGATGGTTTCGCCCTCCTCCCAGGTCCTCCGGGGGAGGGGGAGGAAGGCTGGAACCATGAAATTTCTGTTCCACTTTACCCATAGTGCTATATACCAAATTTGGTTGAAAGTGGATCTGTAATTCAAGCTGAAATGTTTAAAAGCACGACAAACAACAAACGACATTGGACAAAAACAGGTCGCGATGCACCTGAGTGACACAGGTGACCTGAAAAGGAAACCAACGGATTGTCGTTCTTACAGAAGTTGCACGTAAAATGTTTACATAATTATATAAGGTTTTTCCTTGCTCTGAAGAAATATGAGTTACTTAAGCAGCTGTTAAGGAAAATGCACTTTCATTAAATGATTATTACATACCTCACCTAAAATTTGTCATACTCATAGGAAGGACAGACGACTTGAGGATATTATAATTGTTTTAGACTACCGGGCCGGGGGTACATATGGTCCCAGCAATTATTCCGATGATGTAGTTTGCATACTCTCTCAAATGTGGAGAGAATAAACAGAAAATTGTAACAATCGCCTATGAACATTCTAGAGACCAAAAGAGGATATATGAAAGGCATGTAGTACAGAAACAAAAATTGGCAAATTAAGCGCAAGCTAAAAGCATAACACGTAATCTAAACTTAAATACGAAAGAAAAAAATCATACAAAAAGAGCATATAGGAAATCAGTATTGTTATTGGAAGGATAACGACAGATCTCTTGCTACATGTCACGGCCTTGTAGTTTTTTTTTAAATCTCATTAAGGTCTCTTGCCTCTATCTGCCTTTTTCGCACCAACTGATGAACGCATTTATAAGAAGACGTGTACTGAATAGAAGAAAACAATCGTTGCAAACAACCGAACGAATCTGGAGTACGAGAACAAGTTTGTAATGCAGTTTTAGGTATTATTAGTCCCCTACCGGTGAAATCGGAGGGGACTATAGGTTTCCTCTGAGTCTGTCCGTCCGTCTGTCTAGCTGTCTGTCTGTCCGTCTAGCTGTCCCTCTGTCTGTCTGTCCCACTTGGTTTTCCTCACTTTTTTTTCTTAACGCGTGCAGATATTGAGCTGATTTTTGGTATGTGAGTGTATCTTGATGAGTTACAGATCAAGTTTGCATTTCGTTCCGCTTCAATGATTTTTGACGGAATTACAACCTTTTTAATTTTTCAGGGTTTTCCGCAATTTTTTTTTCTAAACGCTTACAAATATTGAGCTGATTTTTGGTGTATGACTTTACCTTGATGAGTTATAGATCAAGTTTGCATTTCGTTCCACTCTCAGAATGCTTTTTGGTTGTGATCTATCATTTTAATGTAACGGGATACCAAGGGAAATTTCTAATTATTTCACTGTTTGAGGAAAAATATTGTGTTTTAAATCTCAGTGATTCAGTTGCTCCAGAAAAAGCATATTTCAGCTTTAGTCAGAGGAGATAAAAGGGTTAACTAAAAAGACCTGAATAATAGCCTATTATAGCAGTGATAAATGTTACTGTTGATGCAAAATGTATATATATTAATTGAATGAGACAGATTTACTTTTCTGATCGAAATTTGTCTGTTGCCTGTCGTTGTAGTCGGCGTCACTGTTATAAACCTTTCCATTTCCATCTTCTGCAGAACCACAGGGTTAATTTCAATTAAGCTTGCCACAAAGAATCCTTGGGTAAAGGTGGTTCAAATTTGTTCAATTGAAGGAGATAATGAAGAAAAACTGAAAATTTGATGGCATTATTTTAAAGTTTTCTTCTTAAGAAATACTGGGCCAGAAAAGTCATTACTCGGGTAATTTCTCTTTATATAGTTCGAATCATGCCCTCAGGGAGGGGGGGGGGGGGGCTAAAGGGGGTCAAAGCTTTAGAGGATTTTAAGAAGATATATCTTTAAAACTCTTTTTTCAGAAACAAAAGGGTCACAATTAATCTCATTGATATGCAAGCATCCTCACGTAACTTAGATTCAAGTTTGTTCATGTCATGGCCCCCGCGGATAGGATGAAAACACAATGGGGGGATACATATTTCACATAGGAATCTTTACGTTCTTCTTAGGAATAAGAAAGCATTAATTAGTGAAATTAATGTGTTAGCATCCTTAGGTAGTGTAGATTTAATTTTGTTCAAAGCATGGTCCCTAGGGGTAGGGCCGGGCCAATAGGGAATCAAACAAAATTGCATTAATTTGTCTTTAATTGATCTAAATTGATTCTTCAGCATATTTTGTAACCGCTGATTTCTGATTTTGCATCAATGCTTATAATATACATGTATCTGTCATTAAATGCATATCACTTTCACTGTTTTAGATAAAAATAAGATCTCTTAATAAAGAACAAATTAAGCTCGTTATATAACTTTCAATTTAACATTTGATAATTGAAGTTAACTAAGCAGGCATTGTATCTGTCTACTTCGACCGACTTTATATTTGCAAATTCAACTGGTAGAAGTTTAAAATAGTACGCAATACCAATGACATTGGTTTTAACTCATATCGTCTCAAACACACAAAACAAGTAAGTCCGTGTAAAATCTTAAAATATAAAAATAGTGTAATATGATATTTATTTGCCATATTCTGTACAAACAAGAGTCTTGTAAGTAGTGAAGATGCCGAACAGTGCTCTATCTCATAAATCACATAAAGAATACGAGTTATGACAGAGGTAAAAAACGAAGCGTGGAAACACCAGAAGTGGGATCAGGTGCTAAGGAGGAGTAAGCTTCCCGTGTCAACCGATCACACCCACGTGAGCCCTCTATGTTGATCAGGTAAACGGAGTAATCTGTAGTCAAAATGGTTTAAAAACAATGGTCTTACAATTATTAAGAAACATGTAAAGCAAACTGTGAGGTTATATTTGCAAACAATTCAGTCATCCGATATATTCCAGACATTTACATCCTAAATGTGTTCATCTCATCTAAAGGTGATTTAACTGTCTAACCATGAATCTCTATTATATCTAGTAGAGACCTGATAAAAGTAGTCTTCAATATTTTTGTACAAATGAAGATCAAGGTCAGATCATGATGAAATTTCTTAAATATTTTCTTCATTTTGAAATGTTTTCATTTTATATCATTCCATTTCAGTTAAATTTTCCTTTAATTTGCAGTTCCTTCTAGAGTTCTTAAAGAGTAGCTAGCATTGTTATTCCTGGATTTGGCATTAACAAATCTATATTTCAAAATTAAAGTAGTTTTTTTTTAACACATTCTAATGATGAATGTCTGATTCAAAATCCTCTTACTAAGGTTTGAAACACTATTTTTTAAAAACTAAATGAGCAAAAAATGTAGTCATGTTCACATCATGGTTACGTAGTTAGAAGTTGTATTTCCCTTGATCAAAATATGTAAAAAATCAACAACAAGCAAAAAAATAAATGTGAGGAAAAATTTGTAGTATATTAATATAGAATATAATATATGTACTACCTTTACGCCATTAGAAATTGAACAATTTATGTAAATAAGCAAGCCATGTAATTTCCCGGAATTTAAACTAGTTTGCATGAAATATATGGAGATAACGAACAGTATTCAAGCTCAAAAGTCCATTATACAATACAAAATAGGAGCAGAGCAAACACGGACCTCCAAACATCAGAGGTGGGATCAGGTGCCATGGAGGAGTGAGCATCCCCTGCCGACCGGTCACACCCGCCGTGTGCTCCTTGTCATGATCGGGAAATAACGGAAAAATCCGTAGACAATTCAGTGTGTAAATAATGGCCTAACAATTAGTATGAAAAACGTCAGTCAGCATTTGACTCAATGATAAAATGTATGTGCTGACAAGGTCATTGTATCGACCATAGAACTTACGAAATGATGACTTTAAACGAGACAGCTGATATTCTTGTTTCATCAACGTATTTGTCAATAATTTACCTCGTTTTAGAAATTGTACATACGTAGAGCATGCTCTTGCGTATCGAATCAACTGAGAGATATATACCCCGTATGCAGGCGATGAAGGTATATTGTTGCATAAGTAAGGGAAGTTGACGATTGAAAAGTTAAAGTCATCACATTTATCATAAAGCTTGGTTGTTAGATTACCATTAACGTCTTTTTAAAGTAAAATATCCAAATATGAAACAGATGTGTCAGACTCTGTGGTATCTTTTATCTCAAGTTCACCAGGATATATCGTATCGACATAAGAATGAAAATAGCCATTGTTAATTGACAATACGTCGTCGATATATCTAAATGTCGACTTGAACGCCACAGCAAGTGTTTTCTTCTTTTCACGTACAAGATTTTGGACAAATTCTGCTTCATATGAATACAAAAAAGGTCTGCTAATAACGGGGCGCAATTGGTACCCATAGGAATTCCAATAGATTGTTGGAAGACCTGGTCTCCAAAAACCACAAAGATATTGTCAATCAGAAACTCAAGCATCTTTTTAATGTCAACTTCAGAGTACTTGTGTGTACAATCAGAATGTTTTTTAACAAAATAATTTTGCAAATGACCAATGACAAGGTAAGAATATTTACGAGTTCCATTTTTATTGAAAAAGCAGCTGTCAATGATATCAAAAAGCCTGGACTTCAATTTATCGTGGGGAATGGTTGTATATAAAGTTGAAAAGTCGTAAGTTTTTAAGCTGTTGATTTTGGTAAAATCTTGTGATTTCAAATTTTCCAAAAGTTCCTTGGAATTTTTAAGTATCCACATCTGATTTACACCACTTCTCGAATACTGTAAACCAACTTTTATTCGCGACGACTTTATTTCGCGATTTACCGGGATAAACTAGTTCGCGACGATAAATTTTCGCGATCAAGCCCTTTTTTCATCTGTTGTTAATAAAAAGAGAGACTTTAAGGACCGGTTCGCGGCGAGAAATATTCGCAATGACGAGGTTCTCGCGAACCTCGCGAAAATTTCTCGCACGCGAATAAAAGTTGGTTTACAGTATATTGTTGCATGAATGCCAGACATTTGGTTTTTGAAGGCAACAAAAACACTATGTTTTCTCATTTTTATACAGAGTGTACAATGCAGAAATTTCCCACATCGATCGGTACATAATGCAACTCCCGAAATGAAAATGTAGAATGGCTTCATTCAGCATTCAATAAAAAAAAAAAACCCAACACATTTCACATCTCAATAGGCTGTTCTATAAGTACTTCTGTATAAATTGACAAAATTCTGAAACACTGTGATATTCAACATATTGCAAATAATAACCAATGACAAAGAGCAAATTCTTAGGAATGTACATATTTAAATACCTAGCTATTTTGTTTTCATTAATGTGATCTTTGTTCTAAAAAATAACAAGCAGAAAACCAACTGTTTCTTTGTGCTCCCTAATCACTCATTATATTGTTTTGTGAAGTGTTAGATGTTTTACTAACGCTTGTATTCGAGATTCTAATTGTATCTGAATGGGCACTGTTTATTTTGCAGTATAATGCATGTCTTGATTTAATTTTGACACGCCAGACACATTATTGTTGGAAGAAGCTGCATCTCTAGACATATGACGCAAATAACACATTATTGATTCTAATTCTCAGTCATGCAGTCCTTGAAAACATCAATATTTAATTATTGTTTTTGATTTATTAGAAGAACAAGTAAAAAGTTTCTTGCAATCATTTCTGAAATCTTTGTTCACAAAACAGTACACTACCGGATTCGCTGCCATATTTAACATGTATGACCGTAAAAATAGTTGGTATAAGTTTGTTTCCATCACAGATAGGGTGGAATAAATGGCTGGCTTCACACATCGAAGTATAGCAATTACACAGAATGGTAAAAACGTACAGATGTACACAACCGTCACGGAGAACAGCATGATGTAAGATTTTGTGACTTGAATTTTTGGTCCGAATCGCATACTCTCTGATGTTATTGAATACATACTGTTCCTTGGTGTTCTTGATTTGTAATTGCGTTCATTAGGAACAGTCAGTTGGTTCCCAAAACTATTTGAATTTTCTTTTAATTCACCATTATTTTGTATCCTCAAAGTGTTTTCAGAGGCGGTAGAAGTAAAGGAGGTATTAGAAGACACTGATTTCCCGCGCTTCTTACAACAAGAGCGAAAACAGCTTAGTTCTCCATAATTCATTATACTTTTGTTTCCTTCATAACATTTAATCTTTGAAAATCCTTTGTTCATAACATGAATTGATCTCCATGTAAATAAGTATAGAATTATTAATATAAGGTCTACAAGGAGACTACTGACTATAAGATATAAACTGTGTACAAAGGGGTATACAGTATCTTTATATCTATTGTCAATGAGACAGGCCTTTGATTTTACACCATTGCGATAAAATGTCTGAGTGCCATATAAGAGTAAAACAGGCCAGCATGTTAAGGCAGATATCAATATGGCAAATAATATACAGTTCTTGACCTCCCGTACTCCGAATGCCATCTCTCTAGAAAATCGAATACCGATAAAACGATCCACTGCAATTCCAATAAGTATAATGGAAGACATGCAGTTAAGCATGAATGTTAAATATCGAAAGGATTTACAAATTATGGTATGGTCAAACGTCGTTGAATTTAACATCAACGCAATATCAAAAGGCATAGTTATACTGCAGTTGCTTAAATCAATCCAAGCGAGAGATAAAATGAACAAACGGGATGATCGTCGGCTTTCCCGCCATTTCTTGTGATAAATGCAGCAAACAAAACCATTTCCGATAATCCCAATCGGCAAAAGACAGGAGACGAAGATTAAGGCTGGCATTAACTCAGCTCTGAAAACCCGAACATCATATCCGCTGTTACTGTGATTCTCCTTGAAGGAGAGATCGGTGTTTATAAAAGACCATGTAGCGTTCCTTGAACCAAGATTCATCTACAAAACAAAAGCACATGATTGTATACTTAGGTTTGTTTTTACACCCTAATGTTTAATATTTCTTCGATTAAAAATAAGATAAAGATAAACTACTTACTGATTCTTGTCATGCACAAATATGCACAGATTTTAATTTAGATAAATAAGAAGTAATGATAAGGGATTAAGGATGTAGAAAAAAGATACATTTTATGAACAATAATTTTCAAGATCAGAAAAGTTAAAAGAATTATACATAGTTTAGATCAATTGTTGCAACTTCATATGATAAATCTTAGTCATCTTAATTTTATCTTACCTCTCCTACAACTTGAAAATAGTTCACAGAAATACGGTAACCGTTATAAATCCCTTTTGTTCACTTTCAGAATTCTCCAAATCAAAGTCTACATGCCTCACAATTCTATATGGCTTATCAATGCAAAAAGAATTTATAAAAGCCACTTCTATTTTCTTTCGCAGAAAATAACTCTAAGCATTTGTGAATAGCAACCAACAAATGTTGTCGAGGATAGTATCTAATTCGGGAGCTAGGCCTATTATAATCAAGATTCATGCCAAAATGTATTGAAAGCGACATTCAGTACATAGAACAGAACAGAATCAGAATTCATTATTGTATCTGCATACAATTAATTGGTATAGATTACTTAATTGAGGCTGCTTAATTCTTATCTGATGTTTACTAAAATGTCACAGTTACTAATTTTAAGAAAATCTATCAATACCTCGTCACAATTATTCGAGATTACAACTTTTAGGCAGTTGTGTGTTAGTCTTAGCTTTAAAAGGAGTCCTATATATATATATATATATATATATATATATATATATATATATATATATATATATATATACAGTCCCTGAAACGTTCTACTTTCCCATTTTTCCGTTCGCTCACCGTTCGTTCACCGTTCGTTCAGCGTGCGTTCACCGTGCGTTCACCGTTCGCTCTCCGTTCACAGTTTTGCGTTCACCGTTCACCGTGCGCTCGCGTTCACCGTTCACAAAGCGTTCAGCGTTCGCTCTTCGTTCCGTTCACTTTGCGTTCACCTTGCGTTCAGCGTTCACCTATCGTTCAGTTTTCATTGTCATTCGGAACTCCGAAGTGAAAGGACTTATCTTTTTGTAGGGAAGGAGTTACAGGTTTTTTTAATTTAATAACTAACATATCGTGTTTGAAGAATTATTATTTCATGTTGAAAAATATCTACGATATATATTTTTATTATTCCATCTTAGTTGTTAGATTATTTATTAAATTACTCTGGAAAATAAATGTTGTTAAAAGCACATTCTGTACCTATGTAGAATGATGCTGAAATGTTAAATTTAACTAAGGGCAATGTGCAAATACTTCAAGCACTGCAACATTTTTTTGTTTTGTTAAAGACGACAAATCGTTAATGGTGATGTAATTATCCAAGTCAAATAATCACGCAGTAAAATTACGAAAATACTTATTTCTAACACTTTTTTCCCCAATTACTACAGAAAATATGATAGAACTAGTTCTGAGAGTTATACATAGTACTGCGCATTTCCTGTTAATTTATTATCTTTGGAGCGAATTAAATTGATAGTATGGTTAAAGGAAATATTTATTTGAAATGTACTGCACTGCAGAATTTTCTCTTCTATAATATGTAAAGTCTATAGTTATAGAGAAAAAATTCTTTCTTCACCGTGACTTTATAGGTTTGCCGTTCGATATGATTAATACCCCCCCCCCCCCCCATTTTCCCCCTAGATTGGTTACTTAGTCAGTACTGTATTTCCAGAATATTTTAATTAACATTTAAAAAAAAAAATGTAAGGTCTTTTTTAGAACAAAAATGTCAGTCTCAAAACAAACATGCATCTAAAAAAGTCACAAAACAATAGTAGTTCAAAATGTACACGTGTCGGCGGTGGTATTTGAAATTGGCGGAGAGTATGTTTCAAATTCAAGTGTTAATGCCCAATGTATTTTATTCATTTATTATTCAAATGTTGGGATCAAATCTAGAAATGATAAAAATAAATGTTATAACTTGTTGGAAATACTCGCACTTAGTCTTCGATGTGACGAAACTTTCACACCTGCACAGTGTCGAATGATTTTGATTGACAGGACAAGCACGTGGACTTCGTGTGAACTTGAAGCAGGAAAATAAAAACGAGTATGACTGTCAAACAAATGGATATGATTTGTTGATAAAAAAAAGTTACTTTCACTGTCTGATGTACTTAGAAAAAAAATTATGAGTTTTTGTTTGATATGGGTACAAACATTTAGTGAAGCCTGAAAGGAGGGGGGCTAAAACGGAATCTCTCTCTCTCTCTCTCATTTGTCTGTTTAATAAAAACTATAACAGCATATTACTTAAATATCAAGTTCTGAAAATTGAATTTATAACAAATAATATGAATATGTATCTTTGTATTATCTTGTCCGAGTATAACCACGGCCATCTAGATATACATGTAGAAGTCTGCTCAATAAATCATCATGAAAAATAAAAATGACACATAATATATTATTGTATTAAAAATTTAAAATACGAGCGTATAAATGCAAAACGTCCACTGACCTTTGTAATTATTTTTTTTTCCATTACTTTACACGAAATCGCCCTGACACGGAGATATATGAATGGATGTTACAACCGCTTTAATTCATTCTATAAGTCAGAAGTTTATACTTCAGCGTTCGTCAACATTTGCAATGTTTTAATGCAATAAAAATCGTGTGATTAAAAACTTAATGTGCATGCATCGTCTTTCTTAGGACAATTTTGGAGAATTTATTTTATTGACTTATTTATTCATTCATTTATTTGCTTACTTATTTATTTATTTAATATTTATTTTTTGCACTGACATTATAAAACAATAAAATAGTTTCAATGCAAGGAAAAGATCAGAGGTATTCCGAATATATCGTTCATCTTGCGTTCACCGTTCGTTCAGCGTTCACTTTGCGTTCGCGTTTGCGCTCCGTTCGCGTTCTGCGTTCGCTCACCGTTCAGCGTTCACACATCGTTCACCAAGTTGCGTTCAGCGTTCACATATCGTTCACTCACCGTTCGCTCTGCGTTCGTTCACCGTTCGTTCAGCGTTCGCTCACCGTTCAAGTGGGAAAGTAGAACGTTTCAGGGACTGTATATATATATATATATATATATATAATAATCTTTCACACAGTTATAAAACATGGTCTTATATTTCAATATCAAAACAGAATACAAACTATGTCGTTTAATATTAGAATAGTTCATTATTAGTGGTCTAAAGAAAATCTTGTCGCTATAAAATAAATTAACCAGTTTATAGGAGTTCTTTGGTAGTCTTAACCTTAAAGAAATCTTATGTAAATTATTCTTTAAGTCAATTTGAATACAATTATTAATTCATAGTAAAATTTAAAATTAAAACAAAATGATGTCTTTTAAAGAAAAAATAAAGGTATTCTATATCGAGCAAAAGATTTCATGGACTTTTATGAGTACTTACCTTTATCAGTTACAGTTAGGATTCTGAAACGGAGACTAGTATCCAGTATTAAAACAGGTGCCAGTCAGATCTTCAGAAAATGTTTCCTATTTCATTGAGTCGTCCTGCTTAAATAGACATATCGGATCTTCAAGAACATGCTTATTTAATAAAGCATGTTCCAGAGAGACATACTGACCTTTAGTACGCTAAATCAAGATACAGAAAAGGAGACAACAAAGCTAACAGATCATGAAAATGACTTATGTTTGACCTCTATTGCTATTTAAAACAAAATATTTTGCTCTCCAATTAGTCTTAAACCTGTTCATTTATAAATAAAATGGACAGTTTTACCGTATTGATGTAAAAAAAAAAGTTGCTTTATTTACCATATAGAGAAAGGTTTTAAAAGATCCTTTGCCCAATCCCATGAGAAAAAGTTAATATAAAATATAATATATATACAAGTCAAAGCCAAAAAAAAAAAAAAAAAAAAAAAAAAAAAAAAAAAAAAAAAAAAAAATTAAATACTATTTTCTTCAGAGTGGACAGAGCCAGGTAACCCATTATTGTTTCTATGTACAACATAATTAGATATTCTGGATCTTAAAAGTTGATATTTTTGTTAAAATAATCCAATTAGCTTATAACTTTATAATCATAAAAGCAAAAACATAATAATTACAACAAAATTATAATCAATTAATCATATACCAAGAATAACAGACACAGTACATATAATCTGTGAGTCTCAAAATACGTAATTCCAAATTTTCGTCTACCACATTCTTTTCTCTAATTGAATCTGCAGAATCTTAATTTGATTGGTAACTTCTCTGAAGATTTTATCTGACCTTTTTCAACCGGATCTTATATTAGAATAAGCTGAAGCGGGTTTTAGTACATATCTTTTACATTTTCTTTTCAAATTTATATTTATTTAGTTTAGACATCTGCCATATACAGTGTAAATCGTTTAGACATAAAAGGATGAGAGATAATCAAATTTACATTCACTCGATAGCCATATAGATGTGCTCCTCAATATTCTTTTCTAACACGAAATTCTCTTACTTGACTCTATTAAAAACAGAGGTGTTTAATGGCTTTTACATGTTTATTAATTATAAAGATGAAATATGGAGATAACGAACAGTATTCAAGTTCAAAAGACAAATACAAATCGAGAGCTGAGTAAACATGGACCTCTTAATACATCAGAGGTGGGATCAGGTGCCATGAGGAATAAGAATCCCCTGTCGATCGGTCACATCCGCCGTGTGCTTATTGTGATGATCGGGCAAATGGAAAAATCTATAGACAATTCAGCTAGTGTTTAAAAAAATGGTCTAACATTAAGTATGAAAAACGTCAGCATTCAACTTAGATAGATTGTATTTGTTGATAGGGTCATTGTATCGACCATAAAACTTGCGAAATGATGACTTTAAACGGGACTGTTGATATTCCTGTTTAATCAACTTGCTTGTCAATAGCTTGCCTCGTTCTAGAAATTGTTCGTATATGGAGCATGCTCTTGCGTACCGAATCAGCTGAGAGATATAAACACCATATGCAGGATAAGGATATATAAAGAAAACGAACAGCAATCCTGCTCATAAGACCAATTATATAGTACAAATTGAGAGCAGAGCAAACACGAACCTCTAGAAACACAGAGGTCGGAAAGGATGTCATGGAGGAGTGAGTATCCCCTGTCGATTGGTCAATTCGCTGTGAGCTTTTTGTCTTGACCAGGTAAAAGGAGTAATCCATAGACAAATCAATATGAAAACAATGGCCTTACAAATCGAATCAAAACACCTGTCACAACTTAACCTAACAAATGGTTATATTTGTAAACAAGGTCATTGTATCGACCATAGAATTTGCAAAATGTTGATTTAAACAAGAATGTTGATGTCCATATACACGTCAACCAATTTGTCAGGAGCCTACTTCTGTTTACGCAG